CTGGCACCCCATAGGGTCCCCGGACCCCACCAGGAGTGACCACTGAGCACAGAGTCAGGAGACAGCCCTGAGCACCCCCGAGTGTGGCTCCAATAAAAAAAAAAATTTCAAAAAGAATGGGACAGCCCCAAAAGTATGAAAGTCATCCCCACACCCACAGTCACACACACATTAACCTGCTCACAGACACACACTGACTCTGACAGAGCCCCCCCCCACACACACACATAATCACAACATTCAATCACGCAGACCCACATAGCAACACACACCCCTCACCCTCATGTCCCCTTCTTTCTCGGACACTCGGTTACCACACGGACCCGCGTGCATTTCCACATACGCTCACGCACACGCACACACATGCACACACACGCACACACACACATGCACGTTGTGTGTGCGCACACACACGCACACGGGTACACACACACACACACACACACACACACACGCAGAGCCTGCATCTGGGAGCCCGGAGACAAGTCCCGGTGAGGCGGCAGGAAGCCTGTCTCTCTAGAACCTTCCAGCAGGCGTCCCCGAGCCCCCGGAACCCTCTGTCTGCTCTCTTCCGCATGACAGCTCGCCCACCCCCGAACTTCATCTGCCCCGCGCCCTTCGTCGCCGGCGTCGTCACGGGCTCCCTCCGCCTCTCCTGGGGGGAAATTTCCAGCTCGCGGCCTCCATGGGCCCCTCCACATGCAGCCGCCCCTCCCCGCTCCTTCCCCAGAGCACCCGGGCTGACCCTGATCGCCCGGACGCAGCAGGAGGGGGAACAATCTGGCAGCATCAGAGCGAGGCTGGTGGCCCAGCGGACACCAGCACCAGGGATGGGGAGAAGGGGGCACCAGGGGGACCCCCAACCCCCTTGGAACTTCTGTGTTGCTGCAGCCGATGCAAGCCTTTTGCCACACACAGCCCGGCCCCCAGGGCAGGATGCGCTGCGAGTCTGTCCAGCTGCTGTCATCCAGGTCCCCCCACCCCGGCCCTGCTGGGAAGCTCTGGCTCCGATCAGCACCCCTCGGTCACGGCCCCCAAGACCCCCATCTGGCACATCCCAGGCGCCTGGTCCTGGCCCAGTGCACCAAGTTCCCGAGTCCCTTCCCCTCCCCAAGGAGAAGACCAAAGCCCAGCGAGGTCCCGCCCGGCCCCGGGTCCAGGGCTGCTTAGCCCAAGACCTTGAGGTTTGGGGCCCGGGAGCCAATGTGAACCCCGGGATGTGTCAGCCTTTGAGGACAGGCGGCCGCAGCCCATCCCCCCTGCCAACCCCCACTACCTGCCCATGTCGGCCACTGTCACTGATTTCCTGGCGCCCAGCCCGGTGTGGCACGTGCCAGTCCCTGACGCTCCAACTCCAGCCCCTTCCAAGTGTTTGAACATTTCCCAGCAGGCGACTCTGCTGAGCATTTCTTGCTCACTCTGCAGTAATCAGGGCTTTGGGGGCTTCCTTGGGCCACCAGACCAGGGAGAAGGAAGGTGGCCCCAGATTCGAGGAGACAGAGCACTGGGCCAGGAGTCTAGGGCCAGGGGTCTGAGTCCTGGCTGGCCTCTCCCTGCCTCTCCCCCCGCCCCCCGCCACTCTCTCTTGTGCACGCTGCAGACATGATTCTTCCTCCACCTGCCTGGTGCCGGGGATGGCGAACGGGGAGAGAGATGTGGAAAGTCTCTCATCAGTGTTAGGAAAAAGTCTCTCATCCAGTGTTAGTGTCACTGGACAAAAGCCACAGCTCAGCTTTGCAGACCCTCCAAGGCTGGGGCCCGGGAGACAGGATGGGGGGTTGGCCAACCCATGGGCCCCCATGGTCCCCCAATCCCGCCCCCAGGAGTGATGCCCGAGTGCAGAGACAGGAGTCATACCTGGGCAGCACCAGTGTGGCCCCAAACCACCACCTCCCTGCCAAAACAAAACAAATAAAACAAAACAAACAAAAAAAAACACCTCTCCAAGGTGGAAAGACGGACCCCCAAATGCATAGGACACAGGTGTCCCCTTGGTGCTAACTGCTGCACAACCCCCCCCCCCCCAGGTCAGGCTTGTGATGGGGACTTGCTCGAGTCTCTTGCATCCTGGACAAGAGCTCGGTGATCCAGGGACAGGCCTGAGCCCCGGGACGCCCCTGAGAGGTCAGAGGTGAGCAGAGAGAAAACCCAAAGGTGCTTCTTAACCGCACCAGCCACGAGGGTCGGTCGAGGGCTGGAGACGCAGCACAGGGGGGAGGGCTTGTGCCTTGCAATCGGCCGACCTGGGTTCGATCCCCGCCATCCCATCGAGTCCCCCACCCCCAGCCCGAGCCCTCCAGGAGTGATCCCTGAGCACAGAGCCAGGAGTCAGCCCTGAGCACGGCTGAGTTGCGCCCACACATACACACACACACACACACACACACACACACACACAAAATAAAACAGCCAAGGCGGCCTCGGGGGTGATGGAGAAGGCACAAGGCAGGGTCACACACCGAGAACTCGCTCGGGGGCTCCCACAGTTCTCGTGCCTTCAAAGCCCCCCACGGCCCCCACCGGCCGGACAGCAGACAGCGCCAGAGCCCTTCTAAGCCCTCCCAGGATGGGTCAGTCACTCCTGCTCCCTGCCGGGACCCTCGACAGCGGAACAGCCGGGCACAGAGTAAGATGCTGAGGAAATACCAGGGGGACAGAGAGGCCCCCGGAGGACATGGTGCCCCCGGCTCCCTGGCACAGGGCCCACAGCCCGCCAGCCACCGAGCCACGAACCTGCAGGCCCAACTGCAGATGCCACACGTCACTGAGTCACACACGTCCACGCACCGCGCCGCGGCGCCCTGCACCACTGACCCCCACCCTCGCCATCCCAGGGAGCCACAGGGTGCCCCGGGGACAGAGTCCAGGCCCTTAGGCCAGGCCCCCTGTCACCACCCCATCCTGGGGTTCAGGACAAGACAGACTCAGGGGACGGAGGGGACAGATGGGGGAGGCAGAGACTCTGCAGAGCAGGAGGGAGGATGGAGCTGAGGCCAGGCAAGAAAGGAAGTCGGGGTAGGGGGAGGCCGGAGAGGGAAGAAGGCCCCCCCGCCCCCCGTCGGGGCCAGGCCCCCAGCAACAGGACAGCTGAGTGTGGAAGCCCCCCGAGAAGTTTCCACTGCCCCAGGGAAGGTCCCTAGCTGCAGGGATGATGGAGGGGCCGCGAGGGGCCCTGACACTCCTTCCTGGAGGGCTGAGCTCGGGAGGGGCTGGGGGCAGGTGGCATGGAGGGGGGTTGGTGGAGGGGGCTTGGCTCTGGGACAGAGAGCGAAGAAGAAGCCACAGGTATGGGGGTCCCTAAAAGCCCTCCACCTCTGCGTTCAGGAGGGCAGGCTAGGGGGAGGGGGGAGGCTGGAGTCTCCACCAACGAAGCACCAAGGTCAAGGGTACTTGGTACTGGGGCTGAGCTGCTCAGTGCCCCCTGGTGGGCCTGGACATTGGGGGGCAGGGTCCCATGCCACAAACCAAGGCCTGCAGTGCCCCCCGCAGATGCCCAGCGCGATGCCAGGGGCGGCCTGGGTGAGCACGTGAGATAGGGGGACAGCCTGGGTGGGGGGGGTTCCGAGTGGGGACAGGCCCGCGGGGACCCCCCACGCTGAGCTGGCACGTGGGACCCTCCTCTCCTCCTCTTCCTGTCCCTCTACAGCTACAGCCCCCCATGCTGTCCCCCCTCCCATGTCCCTTCCCTCTGGCTCAGAGTGGACGGCGGAGGGGACAGGAATCGGCCCCGGTGACGAGGCTGAGTAGAAAGTTTGTCCAGAGGGGTGGACACGAGTTTCAAAGCAAACCCTCAGAAGCTGGGGCAGACCCTGGTCCAAACGGCGATCCACCCTGCAGGGCAGCAGGGCCTGGGGATGGACCCCAGGGGGACACAGACCGCCGTCCCCCCCCAGTGCAGAATTAGACCCCGGGGGGGGACAATGGCCCACATCATGCCACTGCTCCCCAGCCTCCAGGAGGCACCAAATTTCGGGGGTGGCACCAGGGAGGCGTGGGAGCCAGAAGGACAGAGTGACCCCCTGCTCAGATGACCTCCCTGGGGGTCAACTGCCACGGCCAGCCCAGCCCCCCGCGCTCTGCCTGCCTCTCCCACAGGCACGCGCAAGCACGCAGTCACAGGCACACGCACGGCCCTGACCCCCACTGGGTCCAGAGGGCTCCCCACGCGCGCCCAGCACCCCCGGTCCCCGGAGGGGGGGAAGGGAGGCGCCAGCCAAGGCCGGCTCCTGCAGCCCCCGCCCCGGGGACGCGCGACCTCCCCCCACTCCCTGCCCAGGCCTCTGGCCCCCCACATCCCACACACACACACACACACACGCACGCACACACGCGCACACACGCACACGCGCACGGCAGACAATTAAAATCCAATCATCATAAACACTCATTATATAACCAGCCCCAACCTGCCCGGGGCTCCCCTTATCCCCCCAAGACCCCGGCGCTCACCGGCCCCGGCTCCCGGCGGGGAGGCCCGGGTGGGGGGGGACCCTCCGGGGTGCTGCTGGCCGGGGATGGGGGGTGGCGGGCGCCGGCCCGGGGCTCGCGCAAAGTTGGGCACCGGCTGCCCGGGATTCCCCATCCCAGAGCCGCCGCCGCGCCGCGACGCGCCGCGACGCGCCGCGATGCGCTGGCCCCGGGCTCCGCGCACCTGGCCGCGGCAGGACGGACGCGCGGACGGACGCGCGGACGGAGGCGGACGGGCGGACGGACAGACGGACACGCGCCCCCCACGGCCGCCCGCGGCAGCCCTGACTTGTTGAATGAATCCCTGCAGCGCCCGCGGTGCCGCCGGGGCTTGGCACCGGGAGAACTTTGGCGGCCTGGGAGAAGGGGCCGGGCAAAGTTTCCCGGCTCCCGCCGGCCCGCACCTGCCCCCACCCCCGGGGCCGGGGGTCGCGGGGGTCCCCGGAGGGGCCGGCGGCCGCGCGGGCCCCCGGCGCCCGCGGTCGGTCGGTCCGGAGCGCGCGCGCCACCGAGCCGCCCCCCGCCGCACCTACCTGGGCCTGGGCCGGGCCGGGCCGCCGCGCGGGGGTCGTCCGGGGGGTCGAGGCGCGGGGGCGACGCGCGCGCTCCGCCAGGCCGGACCCCGCGGGGGGCCCCCCGCGCCGCCGCCGGGGATCAGCTGCGCCCCTGGGGCGCGCGGGGCGCGGCGCGGCGGGCGGCGGGCGCGGGGGCGCGGGCCATGGCTCGGGGGGCGCGCGGGGGGCGCGCGGGGCGCGGCGCGGGGGGCTGCGGAGGGGCCCGGGCGCCCGGCGCTGCGGGGACGTGCGGCGGCGGCGGCGGCGGCGGCGAGACGGAGCCGCGCCGCGTGCGAGGCAAAACCGTCTTATACTGACACCAAATGTCTTCGGGGGAAGCTGCAGGCGCGGGCGGCCGGAGGGGGGAGGCGCGCGGGGCGACAGACAGACAGACAGACAGCGGCGGCGCGGCCGGCCCGCCCCGCTCCCCGGGGCCACCAGGGGCCCCCCGCCCCCCAGTCTCGCGGCCACCTCCTTTGGAAATCCGGGGTGGCGCCTGCGGGGAGGGCCGACCCCCTCCTCCCCCCCAGCAGGGGGGCTGCGTCATGCGTAAAAAAGGGAGGGACCCCAGTACTGGCCACCCCCGCCAAGTCCTAGGGCTGACCCCTTTTTCCCTCCGGATTCGCGCGGAGACGCTGGGGGAGGCGGGCTGGAGGGAGGGGTGGTCGCCTCGCCGCCCCCGGGGGGTTCCCAGCACTTGAGCAGGACGCCAGAGGTCACTCCCCGGCCCAGCGAGCCTTCCCGCTTCCCTCCCGCGCCTCTTCTTCCTCCCAAGCCTCACTCAAGACCAGAGGAGCCAGAAGAGCCTCCTCCTCCAGGAAGGCTTCCAAATAGGACTCCCAGCTGGAGAGGCCTCTTTGTCCAGCGGCAGAAGACCCCCGCCTCAGGAGGCCCAGGACCCTCCAAATGCAGAGGAGACTGAGTCTCCCCAAATTCAGCTCTGTGGGTGTCAGGCGCTCCCCAAAACCACCCCCTGATGGATAAAAAAAAAAGAGAGACACTGGCCTGGGCTCTAAGCCTCACACCCCCCACTCCATCCTCTGCACCTAACCTCGTCCTGCACAGGGTTCAGTAGCGGGGGGCTTGCTGGGCTGGGCTCCAGGAAGCTGAGACCACCCCACCCTCAAGAAGCACCCAGAGGGGGGTGCGCTCTCTCTGACTCCCCAGTAATCCGCCCCAGAGCAAACAGTCCACCCTCACGCCCCCCACACACCGGCACCTCCCATATTCCCCTACAACCTGCCTCCCTGCCCACCGCTCCCTCTGTCCGTCCCAGACCACGCACAAGGTCACGCGGACACGCAAGGTCACACGCACAGACACACAAGCCAGGCTAGGCGGTGACCAGTCACGCAGGGACACGCGGGCCAGGCCAGGAGGAGGCACACGGCCACCACTCCCATTTCTGTCACAGCAGCGGGGGCTTGGCTGGGGGGGGGGAGGTCCACAGGGAGGAGGCTGGCCGGAGCCCACGCGGGCTCAGGGTCCGAGAGGGGCAACAGGGACATGTCACTCCAGAGGGAGGGAAGACGGAGGATGAGGGGAGGAGGAGGAAAGGCAGGGGAGGAGGGAGTCACAGTGCCCACCAGGGGGCACTGTGCGGGGGGGGGGGAAGGGGGGCCTTATCCTTAGTCCGTAAGGGTCCCAGAGAGATGTGAGACCCTGGCTCCATCCCCTGAACATCCCCCCCATAAAAAGGGGCTGGAGCGATAGCACAGCGGCGGGTAGGGCGTTTGCCTTTCACGCGGCCGACCTGGGTTCGATTCCCAGCATCCCAGATGGTTCCCTGAGCACCACCAGGATTGATTCCTGAGTGCATGAGCCAGGAGTAACCCCTGTGCATCACTGGGTGTGACCCCCCCCCAAAAAAAAAGGACCTCGAAAAGCATCTTAGCAAGTTCTGGAGGCCGGTAGCTCTTGAGATGTAATAGGGTTGTCCTGGCTTACAGGGTCACAGCCCGGCCCTCCCGGGGGCGCGGGGACCCCTTTCTTCTCCCTCATTTCCGGTTATCCCAAGTTTTGGGGTCTTTGGGGGCAGGAGAGCCACACCCAACTATGCTCAAGGCTGACTCCTGGCTTGGTGCTTAGGGGTCTCTCCTGGCGGAGCTCGGGAGGCTGTCTGGGGGGCCAGGCACTGAACGTGGTTGGCTGCACGCAACTCCGCTGCCCCTCGAGGCTCGCTCCCGGTTTTACACTCGGGGTCACTCGGGGTGGTGCTGGAGGGGCCAGGTGTGGAGCCAGGGACTGCACCTGGGTCGCCGCATGCCAGGCCAGTGCCTTGACTGGCCACACCGTCCCGCGGCCTCAGGGCTGTTTCACTGTAAAGGAGCAACGTGCCCAGGATGGCAGTGCCCGGGTGCTCTCCTCCGGCCTCCGTCAGACCCTCGCTGCCAGGCCAGCTGCCGGCCCCACTGTCACTGCATGCCAGCACCCTCCAGCCCCCAGCCCCGGAATGCCAGTGGCGGGGACACATGAAAGGTCACTGAAGGAGTGGGGCGGGGGGGTGCCCCGAAAGAGGCCATGAGAGTGCCCCCGGGACTCTCCCTGCCCGCGGAAGCTTCATTTATTCCTCACTGCTATTTAGACTGTGCCTGGTATTTGCAGAGGGGAGGCCGTGCGAGCACTCGTTAGCCCAGGCCAGCCCAGTGGCAGGCGTGGATCTCAGGGTGGGGGGGGAGGGGAGCCACAGCCAGGCGGTCCCTCTCCCAGGACAAAGCCCACCCAGGCGTCGGCTCCCTTAGAGCTGAGGGCAGAGCCACCCTGTTCACCTCCGTCCCTGGAGAACTTTCTAGCACTGGCAGGAGCTTGGAGGGGAAGGTAGGTCTGTTAACGGGGCTTTGGAGAGGCTGGAACAGGATTCCTTCCCCTCAGGAACAAACAGGCCGGGTCTAGGCAGAAAGATGCTAAGAGCACAGAGACCAAGAGCCCAGTGGCCCCAGAAACGTCAATTTAAAGCCAAAACCTCGACCCATTCCTCCAGGGCCTACAGAGCAGGTCACCAGCACCAGGCCCCGTGCGGAGCCTTGGGCAGACCTGAAAGCCCCCGCCCCGTCCCAGCACTGTCCTGTCAGTCAGAGGATGAGAAGTCAGGAGACTCGATCAAGGCCACCCCGCTAATAGGTGGCAACCCGGGCACTTAAATTCAGGGTGGGCTCCAGAGTGCTCCCAACCCAGGGGGGTCTCCAGAGTGCTCCCAACCTGGGGGGACTCCAGAGTGCGCCCAACCCAGGGCTCGAATGCTCCCAATCTAGGGCTCCAGAGTGCTCCCAACCCAGGGGGCTCCAGAGTGCTCCCAACCCAGGAAGACTCCAGAGTGTTCCCAACCCAGGGGGCTCCAGAGTGCTCCAACTCAGGGGGAGCACCAGAGTGCTCCCAACCCAGGGGGGTTCCAGAGTGCTCCCAACCTGGGAAGACTCCAGAGTGTTCCCAATCCAGGGGGCTCCAGAGTACTCCCAACCCGGGAGGGGTTTCAGAGTGCTCCCAACCCGGGGGGACTCCAGAGTGCTCCCAACCTAGGGGGATCCAGAGTGCTCCCAGCCCAGAGGGTCCAGAGTGCTCCTGACCTGGGTGGCTCTAGAGTGCTCCCAACCCAGGGGATCTCCAGAGTGCTCCAACCCAGGAGGCTCCAGAGTGTTCCCAATGCGGGAGACTCCAGATTGCTCCCAACCCGGGGAGTTCGAGTGCTCCCAACTCGGGGGGGGGCTCCAGAGTGCTCCCAACCCAGGGGCTCCAGAGTGTTTCTGACCCGGGGACTCCAGAGTGCTGCCAACCCAGAGGGCTCCAGAGTGCTCCCAACGTGGGGACTCCAGAGTGCTCCCAACCCGGGGGGGTTCCAGAGTGCTCCCAATGACTGAGGCTCAAAGCGCCAAGACAGGAGTCCGAGTCAGCCTGGCCCGGCAGCCCTCCCGGGAGTTCCCTGGCCCCTGTCAGGCTCTGCTCTGGCCCCCCCAAGTCAGAGAGGCTGGGGGCATCAGGGGGAGAGTCGGGCCGCAGAGCGCCAAGGTCGAGTCTCGGAAAGAAGGTTGGACATTTCTGGGCCCAGGCCTGTGCCGGGGGAGGATGGCAGCCCTGGAAAAGTCTGGAAAGGCTGAGTGCAGCAAGGTGGGCTGGGGGGTGGGGGCGTGCGGAGTCAGGAGCGGAGGGAAGGTGGGGGATTCCCTGGGCCTCCCCTCTGCAATGGAGGTGCAGAGTGAACCCCCAGCCCGCAGGCACCGCGGGGCCCGGAGCAGCCAGTTGGACAAAGGACGGAGTGGGGGTGGCCACAGCACCCACCAGGAGGAAGCCCTGGGCACCGCCAGGCGTGGCCTCGAGACCCCCTCAAGGAAAGGGGGACAGAAGGGCAACTGGAGGACCGGAGAGACCCCAGGCTCGGGTGCCAGCCAGGACTCCAGCCGCAGCCCCTTCTCCGCACAAACCCCCCGAAAGTCAGCCACACACTCAGAGGCTGGCGGGCGCCAAGGAGGATGCCCCCCCAGAAGCCATGGGGGTGTCCAAGCAGGGCCCCGCCCCCACTGGGGGAGGCCAAAGGTCAGCGACAGGAGACCCACACAGGCCTGGCAGGATGGGGGCGCAGCACCCCCCTACCTAGGTGGTAGGGGACCCTCGTGGACAGGCCCTTCACCTGGTCAGGCCGGGAGGGCCACCACGCAGCTCACCTGCCACCAGGGAAGAGGCCGGAGAAATGTGCCAAGGCGGTGGGGTGGGGTGGGGGGTGGGGGGAAGGGGAAGGAGGGGGGGAGAAGGGGTCAGTGACCCCGGTATGGCGTATGGGGGGGAAGGACAGAGAAAGTGGAAAGTGTGTTGGGGGGTTAGAGTGTGCGGGAGAGCAGCGCGTGAGTGTGTGCGGGAGAGTTGTGTGTGCAGCTGTGTGGTGTGTGACTGTGTGTGACTGTGTGAGTCACTGTGACTGAATGTGTCTCTGTGCGACTGAGTGTGTGTGAGAGAGAGAAAATGTGACTGTGTGACTGTATGTGATTGTGTCTCTGTGTAACTGAGCGTCTGACTGAGGTTGTGGCTGTGTACGTGTAACTGTGTATGTGTGTGTGTGACCAAATGTGTGAGTAACTGAGTGTGTGAGTGTGTGTGACTGTGTATGTAT